TGTCTCAGGTTTGAAATGTAACTGTTTTTTAACATTCCTTAGTGATCATTATCTGTTTATTAGAGTCCCATCGAACAGTAGTTTCTATGAACGTAAATAGAAAAATAGTGATAGTTTAGATACAGTACAGTACATATGTGTTTCCTGATATCACAGCGACATGATTTTTATTAACAACAGTTGACTAATTGCCTGCTTATACAGTATTTATAATGGGTGCATCAGGCTAATATCCTAGTCCCTGCTAAAAGCTTGTTTGATTTGCTGAAATTGTAATTTGGGTACCATTCCTGACCTAATACTTTCCCTTTTGGCACTCTGTCTCCTCTCATTTTGCAGTACTATGTTGCACATTTATGATTCCGTGCTTAAATGCTTATTAATTAAAGGCTCTCTCTCATTTTACCTGTCACCACCATTTCACATGGGCTTTATTTGATGTTTTTTTTATTTTTCTGATCTGATCAAACCATACTGCACTGTTATTTTAATCTTGAGAAATTGGCACATCTGTACATTTTTATTTTGCGTTAATAAAATATACTAAAGTGTATAAGAACACCACACTGTGTGGTTCAGTTTTGGCTTTGGTTAAATTAAGAAAAGACAAACACAAAAAAGACTGTGACATTGGAAGAAAACTTAAATATGTTTTTGTTATTGTCTTGAAAATGATCGCATTTGTTTTTGCTAGAAAAAAAGACTTCAGTTTTTTATATTTTTGCTACCAGTAAATTGACAAAGAACACATAAAAGTGTTTTTTCACTTCAGAACACTTAGCGAAATTAAAGGTTTATTGATGTGCTTTTTAAACTTTGCTTATCTGCATGGTAGCAAGGGCAAAGAATTTTGTAAGCATTAAGATTACATCATGTCTGTTTGTTACCCACAAATGTAAGATGTTCTCAGCTCATTCTGCTATAAAATGCATTTGGTCCCATACCAGTTCTCCAAAGCATCTTAAGTGGAATGGTCTGGGAAATGAAGAAGCACACTAGTATAATCTTATTAGTAATACTGGAAGCCGCTAACTGGGTCTAGAAGCCAATCGCAAAGTTGCCCTTGAAAAGACTATAGAAGGATTTCCCTGTTGATCTTAAAAATTCCAAATTTGTTTGCATTTATTCTTATTTATTTTCCATCACTTTTTTTTTTCCTGGAATTGTATCGACACACAGTTTTAGAAGGCAGAGATTACAGAGATCATTTTTACTGTCTCTCTACATACACAGTTGGAGTAAAGCACTATTTTTGCTAAGGGAGTGTTAAAATTGGCTATGCAATCCTGCCTTGGGCTGGGAAAATATTAAATACTGTGAACTGCTGTAAAACCTGTTAAATGTATACATATACACAACCTTGTCTAACAGTACTTTAGTACACTGCACAAGCCTGATCCTTATGAAGAACATAAAGCACCATGCTGAAAAAGAATAAAATGCAGAAAAGCCCAATTAATTTGAGGTAAAAATGTGATAAAACAAATAGATGCATGGGAACTACAGTAGAAGCCAAGTAAATTGTGCACAGTAGTAAAATTAAAATGGCAAATTTACTCTTGTACGCCCTCAAAAGAGAGCAGCCCTTAAGTGGAATTCATAGAGGAGTTTGATTTGGAAATGACTGGGCCTTAAGGGCTTTGGAGGATGAACAGGACTAATACAGCTTTCTCCCTTGAAAAGGAAAAGGCCTTTGCTCCGGATCATTTTATCCATAGTGCTCAAACCCAGTTGGAGACCCAGTGAAGTCCGGTTGAAAATAAAAAAAGAAACAAAAACAAACAGATAAAACACAAAGCCTTCAACCCTGCAGGTGAGCAGATGCCCACTATCAAAAGACTGCAGGAGGCTTCTGTTGTTGTCTTGCTCCCCTCCCTCCCGCAAAATATCCCCCGCCCGCCCCACAGCACCACTGCACAGATTTTCTAAAGCAAATGTGTTTGTGAAAGGCAGAATTTGTTGTTTTATTCCTATATTCCCAAGATGGGAGTCTAAGCACTTTTGATAAGATTGATAAAGAGTCCTTTCTGCTTGAGAAAAGCTTGTGATTCCCTGCGCCCCCTCCCAACCCCCATTCCACGCGGCTGCTTCCTCGCACTTCTCGCTGTTTGAGGTTTTATTGGATCCCTGAAGAACGTTCCCAGAAGCGTGGATCAAAGTGGCGCAGATGAACCTCCCGAATACCCAGAGTCATTTCTTAAAAATTAAACATGCTATGTTTGCTTGCACAGTGATCAGAGCGCTCTCCATGTTGATAACCATCAGTATGAACTTCCCTGCCGCTGATGTAATGATGATGAATGCTGTGACACCGCTGTTCCCGACATCTCTTCCCAGAGGATGCGATGCATTGGCTAATGAAATGAATACAACTACAGTGCCACTGAGGGAAGGGGGTGGTGACAAATAAAAAAGACAACATAAGAATGCAACTGGAAAAAACAAATCAGGCAAGAGAAGTAGATGACAAGAAAGAACAAAGAGTACAGGAGGAAGGCAGAAGTTGTTGTTTTTTATGACATCTGTGTACTGGATGGGTAAAAGGCTCTTCCCACATTTATAATGGTAAACTGATTCACATCACATCAGTATGCATTGAAACATGCAAACCTTACAGAATCCGTTTTAAATAGTTAAAAGGTCTTCCTGTTTATGCACGGATAGAGGTGGTGCAAGATAAAACTTCAGCGGTATACCCAACTTATGTGGTATATGCCTACACTTCATACAGCAGATGTGAAGCAGGTGATGTGCAGAATGATATAAAAATGACCTTTCATTTACTGTATTCCTTTAAATTAAGGCATTCTGTGATACTGAATAAATGCAATAATTAAAAATGATTTTTTATTCAACGGTTTCCTTTCACATGATAACCAGATCCCTGTTTTTGAAGTGCTGCAGAACTTCAGTGAGATGTTTTTCCTTTGCTATCGGCACCACCCCAGTGCTTTTCTGACCATAGAAGGAGGTTGGCCCAAGTCCTCTTCCCAGGTCGGGGAGAAAAGACACACCTGCAGGCTGGTAGCTGGTGTAAGGAGGATTAAGTCGAAAATGCCTAGGATTTAATTGGGTATCTGACCTGTTTAAAACACACAAAAGGGTCAGTAACGCTTGAGCGGCTCAGAGCTGTGAATATTTGCTTTGCCAAAGGATTGTTTATACTCTGTTTCTTACCTCATAAAGAAGTGGGAATTGGTATACTCACTGAAGTAGTTGAAAGTTGAAAGCACTTGGCATTTAGGCCTTGGCCTTTTGGAAAGTTCAGTTGCCAAAGAGCAAATCATGTGATTAAAAATGCTTAGTGAGGAATCCATTATACATGCTTATGTACCATGGTATTTTAATTCCAGTGATGATGAGAAATGTCTTTACAGTATATTTGACCAATGCTGTGAAATAAGAAGAATTTATTTCTTCTGATGACATAGTTTAAAATGGGTAGAGTCTGATTATAACAAACACAAATTCATATGAAAATGATTAGAGTAAAGACAGCTTTTGTTTATCTTATTTTTTTTTACGTTGCGGCACAATTATATTGTTTTCTTTTTACAAGCATTACTTGCAGATGTTGTTTTTGGGTTGAAACAGCTTTCCAAAATCTGGTGTAAGGACAAAAAGCCTGTTATTTGAAGTAGATTTTTCCATTCTGGTTAAGAGTGGATGATACCTACAGTAGCTATGCTTAGTTGTTCGATGGTAATCTTAAAATGTATCAACAGTGCCTGTAATCTTACAGTTTTAAATGACAAAATTTAAGTTTTCCTATCTAATTATTTTGCAATTGAAATGTATTGAACACATATTTACTGGAAAACATATTAAGTATGCTATAGTAAGTATTGACATGAACCATTGATTTGGGTTTTTAAGGACATACGTCTTTTACAAAAGACATTTCTTTCTTTCTCTTATCCTCAAGATCATGATGTTATGATATGTTGCTCTTTCCCTCTCAGATATTGCCCCTTGAAAGCCATGTGATAGTGGATAGTTGCTTGAATCCAAAACAGGTATACTTCTAGACAAGTAGAAGATTTAAAGTTTTTAATATGTCTAAACTGTGAAGGCATATAGGGGGAAAATGCTGAGATTAATTATCTTTTCATGACAAACTTCTCATTGGGGATCCATAAGTTTGACAATGAAGCCCCTCTACTGTGATGTTGTATTACGCCCTTCAGAAAATTCAAGTATTCTCAAGAGCATTTTTGTGTCACTTATCATAGTATTTAGGCTAATCCTAAAGAACCAACTGGTTTTGATTAGCTTGCCTTTACCATGGTGACCCCCATTGAGAACTCCCTCAGTGAGAATGGCTACAGTGTAGCCTTAGTCAGTCCTCTTGGGCTTAGGAAATTGGCATCATTCTTTAATTAAGTTTTTTCGATAAGTAGAGAGCTAAACAATGAAATATAAATGTGTTTGTGATCATTGAATCCAAATTGTCCATGGATCACTGGAAAGAGTTAAAATGTGAAATTAATGTTGGAACAATTTTACAGAACTTTCTGATCTTATAGAAAGTGCTATTGCTTAAACCACTGGGCAGGTCATTGAAAGAGTAGTGATACATTTGAATGTTGGTCACAATAATGGGTTTTATGTCCGTTAAAAGTGATATGTCCTATGCTGACTGGTAAAATACTAAAGACAGGATGGATATTATCTTGTTCTCGTAATAATTTTTCAAATGATAATATCCTGTTTTGTATAATGTATTATAATTGTGTAAAATAGTGTCATATACACCATTAAACCCCAAAAATGGTTCTTGTAAAGTGGTGGAATCTTTGTTATAGAAGTTGTCTTCAATCAGTGCAAGTAATCAGAAATTTCCTCAGTACTCTGAGGAGTTTTAACAAAGAAAGTTGAACACTTGCTTAAAAAACAAAAATGGATAAAATCATTCCTGTCTCCCAGCAGTAAAATTAAGACAGTACAAAGGAGCAGCTGGGTTTAAGATTGCACCATCCTGACACTGTGTGTTCTCCTAGGTGTTCGTTCAATGAGAGGTTAAGTAATGAGAAGTCATCATGGAAGCCCAGTCCCAAGCCAGTTCCGCAGCTGAGAAAAAGAAAGTTGAACACATCATTGTGAAAGGCTCGACTCGAACAGATGTCAGTGAGAAAGCAGTTGCCTCCAGCACGACATCCAACGGTGAGTTACTGAAGGGATTTACAGCCCGCCAAAAACCCAGTCATCATTATTTCTTTCTCCCTCTCTCTCCCCCTCTCACTCAGGCTCCCTCTCTCTGTATCAGTTGTTGCTCTCTCAAGTGTGAACAGAGTAACTGCACCTGGATTGCTGTTTTATTTTCTGTATTCTGAAAAACTGTGGTTGGCTCAAGTGAAGAAATGTTATTCTGTAAATTAATCCTCCACATGCAGTTACCAGTGCATCGTGGCTCAGTTAATCACGTATTTGTGTTTCGATTTTTATCATGTTTTCTCTAGTGTCACAAGACTTTTTATCTCACTTTGTTGTAGCTTTATGGTCTTGTGTATTTCCTCTCTTACTAATTGACAGTTTATCTCAAGCATTTGCTTTCTTACAGTTATTTTACCATGAAGATGGAAGGGATTTTAGATATTTTCAGAAAACATTAGGCTAATATTGTTCATTCACCTAACTTGTGCAATTTCATATCATATCAGTGCTCTACGTATAATCTACACAGTGTCATAATTCATTTGAGCTTTCAGTTCAAAGTTCTCATAAAAAGCAACCAACAATAATAAGAACATTTAGCCTATTTTCCTCCCTTTGTACCCTTATTGTATGCACTAAACTGAGGAGTGACTAGTGTCATTGATACAGTACTTTTTTATTTAAACTGTTAGAATTTTAGAAACTACCAGCAGAGTGTGATTTTGTGATTTACCAAGCAATTGCTTTGCTTATTCCAACTGACAGTTGTCTTTTCTCCATATCATATAAGCTCTTTTGTTTCTTGATAAAATCACTTGGGCTGCATGGCTCATGTGGACTGGAATGACAAAATGCTGTGCTTTCTACACTTTATCATTGAACAAAAAATTATTTTGTATCTAAATAATTAACAAACCATATGGCTTATACTTCTGTTTTTCTGTCTGTTGAATAATTCAATATTTGTTGATTACTTCAACTCAAATCTTTTCAACATTACTCAAATCCCAAGTTTCCATCCTTGACCATCCTTGGAACTTTTAAACCAGTCGGGTTGAAATACAATAACCACTTACTACAGTTTACTACAGTATACATTAGGCATGATGGTGAAAAAATGCCTGTAAATATTCATTAAAAACTCTGATCTCAAAGCTCAGAGGTGTAACAACTTAGAGACAGTTGAGAAACCAAACCTTCTTAGATTTATTGTACCAGTTTGCTTTTTCCAGATATGACATCGAAGTGATCAAACCTAACTTCATTCTAATGACAGCAACATGGAAAACATAAAGTAGCTTTTTAAAAAAGTTTAGAAAATTTGATACTGTGAGGTGTCAGTTATTCATTTCAGGTTATATAGACCTATTAAACTGCTTGTCACCAATCTGACATCTTCAAATGGTTCCTCTTTTTAATGGCTTTTAAGCAAAGAATCAGCTTTCTGAATGAGATGGCAAATCCTTAGTTGTAATAACTCCATAACATTCCATCTGAAATGATTCCTTGTTTCAAACTGCAGCTGTGCACATTTGCTAAAGTCATAAAAAAGCTGCTCTCTAGCACAGAGGGGCCGTCACCAATCGTAACTGCAGGGTGATTTGTAGGATGCCAAATGTTATTGTCACAAGTTCCTAGCTGGAGACATCAAACACCACCAGCTATAGTGATGGGGTTAATTAATTCTTGGGTTCGTTCTCTCTCCATATGTAAGTCTTTAATGTTCTTTCAGGAAGTTAGGGGAAGCAGGGGGTTTGGCTTTGCATGTGAACCATCTTTGAAACACTTTCACTCGGTTTCCCATTCCAGATAGTAATGTTGTTTGGCATTTGGCTTTATTTAACTTTTACTAAAGGTAAGGATGTGATTAGAGACATTACAGGCATTGTAGGCTTAATAATACAAATGTAATCACTTGATTTTCAGATCTTGGTCTATCAGACCAGTCCTATGGTACCACGCTTTGAGTGACATATAATTTTAAAGTTAGTTTACTGGAAAGCAAGTATTAGCTACACAGTTTCACATGGCTGAAAAACTAACAAACTAATCCAAAACAAATCATAAAGCAAAGAAGCTAGTCTAGACGAGCAAATACTTCCAAGAAGAAAATTTTAAGAGTTAGATAGTACTGTGAAATCTAATGGAAAAGTAAGGTAACAAGTATTAAAATAAGCACAACGTAAAGACAGGTCATAGTGTTGAAGTCTCTTTATTTCTACTTTATAATGAGTCACCTAGCAGTTTTAATACTGGCAGGCTTAACGGTAACACAGAAAAAAAATATTATGAATTGAAAAAAGAAACTGTGGGTTGAACCTGTTATGGTCACATTACATTGCAGGCTAATTGCGTTTAAGGACATACTATAGTTAATCTCAAGCAGTCAGATTAAAATGTGTGGATCCAAGGTATGGGATCTGTGCTTTCCTAGTTATGCTCTTATTGGAGTGAGTTATTAATTTAACAGTCATTTTAGTTATACTTTATTAGTTTGCCATGTTCATGTGTGTTCATGTCTGGGCTCCTTGCATATTGTTCCTAGTGTCTGTTGCTTTCAAGTGTTTTATTTTCCCTTTTTCAAAACCAATACAAAGAACACAAAGAAAACAGTTTGTCATGCTCTTGAATTCACTGACTTATTTTTACAACATCCACTGTTATCGTGCAGCGCTTTGTTGCCTTGTAGCATGTGTGCTGTACATAGAGGTGCCTTTAAACCCAGCTCTGCCATGTTGATTCCTTATCAAGTGTAACACAACACTCCTTCTTTAACCCTTCCCCCACCCAGATGAACAAAACGTAATTGTTACCAGATGTAGAGTAATCATGAATGCCACTTCTCAGGAAGTTCCTAAGAAAATATTTTTACCATGATATAAACCAAGCTTACAGCCCTGGTCTGGAGAAACTTGAACCCAAACGAGAACGCTAACTCAATTAAAGCTAATTAAATAGAGATGTATAGGCATTCACTCAAGTCATTTCTGTGTGAAGGGAGAATGGAGGTGAAGCAGTTAAAACAGATTTCTGTACTTTTTTGAAAATATTGTAAAACCAATTCCAGCCCGAACGATTCTGTGGCCTTTGGATCTTTTTGTCTCCTTGTACCATTTTATATCCCTTTTTTTGTTATTTTACATTGTTAAAAATGTGAGAAAACATGAGTTTCCTGACTATTTCTAAAGCTTTCTTTGCAAAGTTGACAAATTTGTTCCATGTTTTTTTCTAGAACTTTTAAGATGACATCTGTTTTTCATTTCAACAGGTGCGGGGTATACGTGGACAAATCACAGCATAATTTCTTTTGATATTTGACTTCTGTTACAGAAAAATTTATTGATGCATAGTTCTGTTTTAGGAAAAGAAAGAGCATGAGCTCGTGTAAATTACTCAGATGCCTTTGTCTACGGTGAAGAAAAAACACTTTATATCCTGAGGAGTATGTTATACATTTCTATGATGGAATGTCACTCTCCTAACACAGTTTATTATGCAACACTTGCTGTCAAATCTGGGTTTATTAAATGGGTGTGTCCTTCTACCCCCTGTTACTGATTGGACTGTATAAATTTTTAAAAGTTAACACAAATTCTTGTGTCTGTATATATATTGAAAATTGTGTATACACAAATATTGTGTAGTCACACATATATTTAGGTTTAAGTAAATACAACTTCAGCTTTAGAATAGAATATGAGACATTTTGCTGCACCTTTTGCTTTTTATTTGGTTCCGATATGTCTGTGGGTGAAGTAATGCAAGTTCACTGAGGCAAACAGGCAGATTTGAGTGCCGAAATCTTGTTAGACGTCCAGCGCATTTCTGTCTCTGATTTATGTGGCATTTTAGGCACATTTTGGCATGATAAAGCCATTAAGTTTGCCTTTTACATTGTGCAGACTAAACATTGTGCCTCTCCTTTAGGCTGAGAGGAATGTGCATAATATGCATATGCAGTGTCCTCACTGTGAAGACCAAATGCACTTTTCTAGTACATGTAAACACCAGGATTGTACTTTTAGATATAAACTGTCAACATTTTCCACTGAAATGAGGAACTGAATTTCCTGTTGTTGAAGTTTTGAAAATGTTCTTGTTGAATCACTGATTTAAAGAGAACAGTAAAATTAATGTTTTAGAATTTTAAAAGTGCTCTCTTGTGTCTTAAATGCTCGTTTCTGTCTTAATTTGAATGCATCTGTTTAATTACATAGCCACAAGTTACGTTGCATTAAATCAACAAATAAAGAGGACATTTACACTTGCGTTTAGCGTTCATCCTGTGGTTACAGGAAAATGTGATTCATTTGATCAATTGAAATTCCTGTATAATATATAAAAAAATAATACTGCATTTCAAATCCAAAAGGCAAAATATTATGAAATAAACAAAAGATGAAAGCCAGGTGAAAATAGTTACCTCACTTTGCTTGGTCTCTCTTTCAAATAAGATGTTACAGAAAGGGTACTGGCTTTTAAGGTTTGCAACTTTTGTTTCAGAAAGTTCAGAAACATTTATAGAAGCAGTTCATTTTGGGGTAGAAAAGCAGGTTTGCATAAAACAATTCCTCAGTATTTCTGTGCTTCAGGACACAAATTTGCATCCTGGAGATATATTATACACTGAGATTATATTTTCAGATATTTTTATATTTTCAGATTTGAATTGCTCAATAAAAAAATAACTCATCTTATTCTATTTTGGCATATTGCTTAAAAGTTCAAAAGTTCATGAAATGACTTTTATCCCTTTTTTAATTAATTTTGTTAATAACTGATTTTTTTCTTAACCCTTTTTTGAGACATACAGTACTGTAGTTTAATATATTAGGCCATTTACCCTATTGGACTTATTTGCCTTTAGTAGCTAAATTATCCAAAATCTGACCTGGTTGACTGGGTAGCTTGTTACCAGACTCTCTGTAGAAAGAAGTGTTTCATATTCTCAGTTTTAAATGCACATTTTAATTTCCTTTTGTGTCCTCTGGTTTATTTTGAAGTCAGTT